TGAATTTGAGTTTGAAGCAGATTTTGGACAAGTGGCATTTTGGCATGATGATCATGATGACATGACCTTCATTAGGGGGAGATTACTGTAGTGTGATGCTGGGGATGTTACAGCGACCGCGAGGATGATGACCATGCTACAAACATTTATGGCTTCTCGTAGACAGTGTTTCACACTCCACCACCACCACCGACGCAGGAGACACAGACCGTGACAGACGAGGTTAACTATGGTCGTGGTTATCGCGAGCCTCGTCCACCGCCTCAGCGCTTATCGCCTTCCGGTCCTCGCCCGAGGAAGACCCAGACTCGTCGCCGTCCCCCGCAGTGATATGCTTATCTATCTATGTATGACCCATTATCTATGTTAATTTCAGACTATTCGCATATGTGTGTCAGTATTTATGTATGAGACATGCTTCATGTATGTGTTACTATCGCACTTCCTTCTATCTGATCAGGAGACATATATTGTTTTATGTGTGCGAGAGACATATTACTATTAATTCGCATTCTTATTCCAGTTGAACTTGTGCAATACATCTTACATACTACAAAATGAAATTCAGATAGAACATAATGCCCTACAATAATACAATACAAACTAATAATGCAAATACATCTGAATGAAACGGTACAACTGGAATACATCTTACATACTACATGAAGTCATCATCGTCATCCTCCATTGATGCAGCCTTCTTGCCCTTCGACGATGCGGTCCTCTTGCCCTCCATCGATGCAGAACTCTTGCCCTTGCTGGATGCAGAACTCTTGCCCTTCGAGGATGCAGAAGTCTTGCCTTTGGACAATGCAGAACTCTTGCCCTTCGACGATGCAGAACCCGGAAGCGGCGACATGAAGATATCTTCGTCGTCCTCGCTCTCCTCGGTCCATAAAAATATATTCTTTGTTGCAGTCCTTCTGAAAGTTTCACTCTTCGGCTCCACTACCTTCTTCCACCTTTCATGCAACCTAAGAAGTTCTTGACGTACCTCCTTATAGGTCCTTTCAGGCCACCCAGACCTACGTAATTGGTGAGCCAACTCATTCATTATGGTGTCACTACTGATGAGTTCGTCCCATGGAACTATCCTATTGTCCATCCTGAAATCGGCAACTAGACTCAGAAGAGTGCTGCTCATCCCAGGGTGAAAACTACGATCGAACGGATAATGGGACATCTCGACTACACTACACTGGAATGCTTATCCACCTTCGGCTGAAGGGGGTTTTATAGATACAGAGGAGAAAATGGCGGGAAAGAATAACTGCGTTATGGCGGGAAAGGGTTGGCGGGGAAATAAGGCGGGAAGGGATTGGCGGGAAAATAAGGCGGGAAGGGATTGGCGGGACACGGGTGGCGGGAACATATGGCGGGAAGGGGTTGGCGAGAAACGAGTGGCGGGAAGGGGTTGGCGGGAAACGGGTGGCGAGAAAATACATTTCAGCATGAGCCATGCAACTTCGGCCTACACGAGACCGAAGTAGTACTTTTCGGCCTAGACTTGACCAAAAAGTCTACTTCGGCCAAGTGTTGACCGAAAACTAACTTTTCGGCCAGGTGCCACACTTTTCGGTCAAGTGTTGGCCGAAAACCCTACTTCGGCCTAACCGTGGCCGAAAACTATTACTTCGGCCAGAAGATGGCCGACGGGCTACTAGTTTTGGTTTTTTTGCATTACGTCCTATAGTTTCCGAAAATGCTATAAAATATATCATAGTTTTGAAAAAAAATCTCCTGTCTTTCTTATTTCTCGATTCTCGATACCAGCGTTCGCCATGAAGTTGGCCGCCTGGCCGCGTGTCTACGCCGAATCAGGTAATCAAGGTGAGATTCATGATTATTAATAATTATTGTACACAGGTGCGCAGGAGCCAACACCGGGAGGCTGATACACATAGATACACCGCTGGGGCCAGGCGGCTCACATGCGCAGCCGGCGGCGAAGCCACCGCCGACCCATGAGAGGTTTGGCCGTCAGGCCGCTCGCATGCATACACACAGGTCTGAGAGAGGTTCATCCATGGCAGGACTGCTCGAGCGTCTTCTCTCCTCTCGCCCATGGTGGCTTGGAGAATTAAATCGGTTTTTTTCGATCATGATTTGACTTGTCAACCCAAATACAGAGACAGGTGATGAACAGGGCCAAGGTAGATTACATTGGTTCACACCGGTTATGGGTGTTCCTTCAACCCCAAATACAGGTGCAGGTGATGGACAGGTCGGCTCAACAGATCATATCGTGGGTGTTTTGTCAGTTCCAAATATGCAGGTACAAGTGATGAACAAGGTCATGAAGGATTGGATCGGTTTACACTGGCCATGGCTTTGCTCGCCAATTCGGATACATGTGCAGATGAACAACATGATTCAGAAGATTTGATCAGTTTACACCGATCCAAATACAGGCATAGGTGGACACTAAGCAAAGAACTCATGCCTGCACCTTGATGAAAAGATGAGAGATTGAATAACAGAGGCCAGACCAGACATACTTCTCCTTAGCCGACGAGGCCAAGAGATCATTTCTCTTTTCCGCAACCGACGAGGCTGGACACACCTTCTCCTTGGCCAATGAGGCCAAGAGATCAATTTCCCTTTTTCACGATCAACAAGGCCGGGAATCATTTGTCGTCCTCACCGACGAGGCTGGACGCACCTTCTCTTTAGCCGACGAGGCCAAGAGATCATTTTCCCTTTTTCGTGACCGACGAGGCAGGAAATCATTTATCCTAACCGATAAGGCTGGACGCACCTTCTCCTTGGCCAACGAGGCTTGCAAACATTACCCCTTTCCGCGACCGACGAGGCTGGAATCCTTTGTCCTGACCAACGAGGCTGGACGCATTATATCATTGACCGACAAGGCTTGGAGACATTATTACCCCTTTCCGTGACCAACGAGGCTGAAACCCTTTTGTCCCGGCCGACGAGGCCGAATTCACTCACGAGGCCGAACACATTTTTGAGACTTTACTATGAACCCAGTGTGGTAACCAACGAGGCCTTGTAACATTCATGTCTGCCACTTTTACTTCTCAATATATCATGAGAATATTTCAAGTTCAAGACGACCACCATCAGCGCAACTTAATCGAAGGTGTTCTGCGGGATTTACCAGCAGATGTAATTAACCGGATTGTCTTACGAGGCTCTGGGAACTAGAATCTCCACGGTCGCTGGATATTAGTCACATTACTTATCCGTGGCGCAATATTATAATCAGGTGGAAACCGCGCTTTATAATTCTCAAGAGAATTAATAAAGCAGTATTTCTCTATGTGTTCTTGTCTTTTTTATTTATTTGTATATGAATGTATACTGGCACGTCTGCATTTTTATTGCCTTTATGCACTAGGAAATACCCCTAACTCGGGGACGTCTTTTTCGTGAAACACCAAGTAAATTCGAATGTGTTCTTTTTAACAGGTGCTCTCCTTTATTTGTTTCCATGTTATCTTATTTACAATCAATCGCATTTCTTACTTACAGGGACAACAGGTCAAAGATGAGCCCTGCGACTACATCATTCTTGGTAACCACACATAGAGTCCTTTCAAAAACAATTCCTACCTTTTGTTGGAACTGCAGCTAACATAAAACACAAAATAAATGCAGGCACGCGTACTTCGGCGAGCTGGACAAATTTTGCTTCTAGGGCAATGAAGTGAAGCTCTATGAACGCCACGTGGATAAGCTCTTCGCCATGTTTTAGCACAAGATGCCAAAGATTGAGTACTATGTCTGCACCATTAACAAGGCATTTGCCAAACCAGGCCAACACATGGTATGTTCAAATGCGTTCAATGTTACTAACTTTCATGATGTAGCAAGTTATATCTCCATACTACAGAGTGCCACGTTTTATTGATTTTTATCACACAAAACTTGTTGATTGATTGTCACTCAATATCTGTGTTTTTCACTCTAATTTTTCAACACCACTGATGCTTTAGTGCTATGCCCACGGTGTATGTGAAAATGACAAGTTTGATTTGCTATGTCTATCTGTACGGTCAATTTTCTTTCGCCGATGTTCTTTCTCACTCTAATACTTAGTTATATTCAATGAGATTCATTCTTCTCTCTTTTGCATAATATTTTTTTATTGCATTTGTTCCAGCCGAGCAAATATTACATAGTTCTTTTATCTTCCTATTAGTGCAAGTATAATGTTTGAGAGGAAGTTTTGTCGTGAACTAACTGCTTTTGTTTGTCTTAACAGTATTTTTAGGTGGAGCACACAGAGGACAAGCTGCACACATACATTCATGAAGATGATGACACCCTCCCACTCAAGCTCAGAGAAGACGCCATGAGCTGTGACACCCGATGATGACACCCTCCCACTCAAGCTCAGAGAAGACGCCATGAGCTGTGACACCCGATTCATGCTTGGAACCGACAAGAAGGCCACCATTCATGATCATGGTTTTGCACCACGCCAACATCCATGAGGGTAACATCTGCGCCTTCCATTTCAAGCGCAAGGGCTCCGGTTTAACTCACTGTCCATCGTCTCTAGACGCAGCGCCGTCAGCAGGCCTGCCACCATATATATGAAGCCCACCATATATATGAAGCCCTGCGTTTTGGTGATGGTACGAACGGTCTCTTTCGAAGATCGCCCGCCTTTTGGAAGATGTTTAGCTTTGATTTCAACTGCTGGCCGTCTCTCTCTACTCACTGATCTGCCTTGTAGGAGCTATCTATTAATATAAACCTACTTGCTCTGCTTGCTACTAGTAAAATATACAGTATGTTGTTTTGATGCAACTCGCGCCCATGGGCTGTACAAACACATTAACAAGTTTAACAGCATGACAAGTACCGCACACTTACACCTCACGAGGCGCACCCCATCCACTAGTACACTTAACCCAGCCACTGGTACACTTAACGACTCGGAGCATCGACTGAGTATGCAAAGACTTGTCGTTTTGATTATTACACTTAGCAAAGAATTGCTAGGATAGTTTTGATTATTACACTCCAAGTTAATCACGAGCCAGCCCATCACACATGGCGGAAAAGCCCCTAGGCAAGGTCGACCAAATCACCTTCACTAAGATTAATGCAAAATCAGTCTTTATTTCTTCAATATCATGCCCGTGCATTTTCGCCTTGAAAGAACAGCAATGTTGGTCGGAACTGGATGACAGTGCGCCTACCTTGAACTTCAAATCTATCGAAGAGTTTTTCATTACAGCAACCACGGACCTCTTTAGGCCTTGTGAATCAGCGATGGTGCCATCAAAGAGCTGGATTTCTTCATTAAACCCACTGGCTAAACATCCGACGGACAAACTGAAACTGCTTTTCACTTCCAATATGAGAACCTCTACGGTCGCCTCAACTGCTTTTAAAAGGCGTGACAAAGTTATGTCAACTGAGCCACAATCACCAGCAATGTGAAATGTGCATGGTTGATCCCATGAGCCTAAGGGGCCTATGAATGATGCACCATCAATCAGCTGTAGGTCATTTTTTTCTTGTTCACCTGACTTGATCTTCATGTCATATTCAAGTAGAGCATGATCTGCCATATCTATCCCTCGCTTGGGGCCAATCATGTTGATGAGAGAACCCTACAAAATGGTTATATTTAGTAACTCTTTATAGAGAAAAGTGAGAAATGCCTAAAGCTAAATACTTCTGTTACGATGTTTCACTTGTAACAAAATTTGCTTCAAAAGAGTTTTTAATAATTGATAACCGAGATATTTGTCACATTTCAAACAAGACAGTTATGAGCTGCATAATGGTGATAGGGAAAATTGGTCCCCCTAATTTATTTGACTTTGTTTCAAAGCCCAAATTTACACAATTGTACATAAGCATGTGTGTAATGAAAAGACGAAAGAAAATGACTTGTACTGATGGATTCATTAATGATACTCCCTCAGACCAGGCTTTTTGAGATTTGGTTTGACCATCAATGAGACCAATAATATATGATACGCAGGCCACAGAAGGTATACCACTGAATTTGTATTTCAAAGAATTTTCCAACGGCATAATTTTTATGCCATATATCTCATTATTATTGATTAATTGATGGTCAAAGTAAATCTCAAAATACGTATTAGACCGTGTAAACCCAAACAGAGGGGGTATGCATCCTCGTCTATAAACAAAAGGATATCAATTTCCTGGTGTGCTAAGAACCAGCCAAGAATAGAAAACTATTCAATTTGGATTTGTTTGGGACATGATACTCCCTTAATTTCATAACTCAAATCTTGCTCTCATACTAAATCAGCATTTCATAATATAGTATTGGGTATTGGCATATACAATCATACGTGTTAGAAAACTATTCTGCTACTTTTGGACAGATAGTCGCATAGAATCATTTATTCGCAGCTAAGACAAATTATTAAATTGGAGCTACAGCACAAGAAATATGTGGAACAACAACAATAAACTAATCCTATTAGTTACTAAGAAAACCAAGAGCGAAAACTGAACTTCATGTCTACTAAATAATTCAAGAGCAGGGTAGTAGTTATAGTATGCCATCGAGAGAATGTAACTGCTCTGATCTCATATGTTATATTCATGTGATAAGTTTAACATTATACTGTGAAATGAATAATATAGCTTAAAATAAGGAACAGGTTTGCTAAACCCCATCAAATATCAATTCGTCTATTTAAAACACAAGTACAATATCTGGTATCTACCCCTGAAATATTCCATACCAGCTAAATCTATTCTCTGGGGCGATTTTGCCCACGTGGCAGCATCCACCTAACAAGCTACATAGGTGAAACTGCCTTCAAAACTGTCCCAAGGTGTGATTTAGATGGTAGTGGAGATTTTTCTTATCGGGCAAACACCTGGTTACGCAGACAAACCTCGATAGCATGGGGTGTTAGGCTAGACTTCTTTGCATATAAGTATAGATGTATACCTGCTCCACGATGACGGGATCATCTCTGCTAATATTGACAACATAATTAAGCAATGGATCCAGATCATCCCGCACTGCTACATATCCATACAACTCTACTAAGCCATCCACAGGAATTTTAGCCAACTCTAGTGAGTAAATTTGCAGCATGCTACGAGCAAAATGTCTAGTACAAATTCCATCGTGAACGTTGCAATTTGCAGCAGGATCTGATAATGTCATTGCCTCCAACCGAGCTTCACAAAAGGTAAAGTTATAGTGTAAGTTTATAACTCGAATTAATACAGTAAACAAATACATGATATTCAAAAGGGGGCAGCCCCAGTGCATGTAGCTCCCGCTTGCGCAGGGTCTGGGGAAGGGTCCGACCACTTTGGGTCTATTGTACGCAGCCTTTCCCTACATTTCTGCAAGAGGCTGTTTCCAGGACTTGAACCCGTGACCTCATGGTCACAAGGCAGCAGCTTTACCACTGCGCCAAGGCTCCCCTTCAAATACATGATATTCAAAATGTAAAAAAAAAATGCCATTTGAGGATTACATGGACTTATTAGAATTTTTCTTTTTCAATGTACTAAGTGGAAATTGTTGGATCACATGCCGGAAAAAAACATGCATACATGGTGGAAAAGAAAACACAGGGAGACACGCATGATAGAAAAAAAAATGGTACCGTTCACCTTTTTCAGCTTTTCTACTTACCTCTATTTATATGCTAACAGAACTCAAACGTAAAACAAGCTCCGATCAGGTAAGTTGGTCGTGCCATCCCACGTCCACCCGATCAGTCATGGTGATGCCATCACACGCACATGCAATCGTGCCATCACACGATCCGCTTGTGATGGCCTAGCTATCTAACAGAAAGACTTAAGTATACTACGCCAAGTCATGAACAAACTCACGCTGCATGTCCCTATTATTCAGCTAGGAATCAACTACTTAGCACGTATCAAGCTACACGTTGCAGTTACATGCACGTACGAGCTAACCTTCTCAACTAATGCATGAAGCTAACGACTAATGCAATAATGTCTGAACCTACCTTTGTAACAAGATTTGCACTAACAGTGGATATGTTCTTTTTACTGCGAACTTCGCTCCCTCAAGTTCTTTAGGGACACCAAAAGAAAGCATCACCTTGAAAAGCTTGTTGGTTGCTTACAGAAAAAAAAAACACTGAGCATAGGGCCGGTGAGGATTAAAGAGCATTTCGACAAAACATGTATGTCCACTTATGTCCGAAAGCACACAGCACTTGCCATCAATTTAAATGAGATTAGTGTGCTGGAACTGGAAGGAGTTGACTGGATGATTTTCAGTCCATTGGTGCTACAACTCAATATCATCTAGTATCACTGCAGAGAGTGAGGGGGAGAGCAACCTCAATCCTTCTAAGGCTCTAATGGGATATGACTCATAGTCTCTCCTACAAGCATATATGCCAATAGGCTCTTGAATTTCCAGCAAGATTGGCAGAACAATCGATCTATTCTTCTCCCTTGTCTTCCATATAGCCCAACCAAAGCTTGACAATCCGTCTCCAGCCAACCATGAGTCTCTGCACAGTTTGACCCCATCGTTACATGCCAAAGCTTCAGCCACCATGGGTTCTGGTAAAGAACCATACAACTTAACTCCACCCGCAATAAAATTGCATCTGTCATCACGAATCAGAAAACCCGACGAACCACACAGGATGTTGTGGTCGAAGGCAGCATCACCGATTCAGCGTTAGTTTTTAAGGCCCCAGCAGGAGGACACCAATGTTGAGTAGCAGCAACGGAGTTGTGCACGATCGCCTTAGATCCACCCGAATGTTTTGCAGAAGAAGTATTGGGTTGTATTTTGAAGGACATCGGTAATGGCGTGTTCGGCTTATTGGTTGATGAGTGTCAAAGAAAAAATGGCAGTGTCTCTACGATATGTTAACAAATGTGACGAGTCATGAGAGGTTTGTGGGTGTTTTTCATGTGGAGGAAACAACAGTTGCTTATCTCAAGTCTAAAATTAATTTTCTAATTGCAAAAGCTTGGTTTGAGTCTACAGCAAGTGAGATGACAAGGTTATGATCGAGCCTAGATTAATGGTCTACGAGCCTAGATTATGAGTGAAAAGTTCAGCTTATTATATACATTGTTTTTCTCACAAACTTAACTTGGTTATTGTGGCCATTGCTAAGAAAATATTTGATGTTGGGAGATTTCTTTGATATGCTACCATTAGAAAAAGGATAAACTTCGAAAGAACCATCAAGAAGTGAGGAAACCAGGAGCTTTCTCTTCAAAGACCGGAAGATACTAGATGGACTTCTCACTATACCACTTTGTTGAGCAAAGATGTTTACCTCAGTGGTTAAAGTACTAGCATATGTGGAGGAAGAGGGCACAGATTCTAATAAGCAATGTCAAGTCAATGGCTCTTTAAAAAGTTTTAGTCATTTGATTCCGCATTCTTTCTACAATGATGATGATTATATTAGCTTTAATAAATGAGCTATCAGAAACCTTTCAGAGAAAGTATAGGCACATTGTAAATGCTATATCAGTGGAATTTGTTAAGCGAGAGCTAGGAAAGCTTAGATCTGAGTATGGCTGGAATTCTCCTTGAACAAGGTATGCTCTTTTTGCAACAAGAATGACATTTCAGTGATCCAAAGGAGCCAAGGCAAATGGCCAGCATTATAGGGTTGATTTTTTTTTGTTGTCTTGGATTTGTTGGGAGAAGAATTAAATCACATATTCAATGAGGTAAATAATGGGTTGCTCCGTTGCATGTGTGCTTGCAGTCCAAGTGATAAATTTAGACATTATGATGATGAGAAGCTGATGAAGTTGGCCAAGTTTTATCCTAATGACTTCAGCGATGACAAGTTGAACCATCTTGAGCAAGATCTTTGCGCATACATAATGTAAACGATGATACAAGATTACCTAGATTGGAAACTATCAATACCTAGATTGGTGACTACAAAGAAGAATCACTCGTATCCTTTTGTCTATCAACTTTTAAAGCTAGTACTAACTCTTCCTGTTGCCACTGCAGCTGTTGAGAGATGCTTCTCAGCTATAAAGTTTGTGAAGAATACTTTATGTAACAAAATGGGTGATGATTTTTTGAGCTGTAGCCTAATTTGCTCTGTAGAAAAGGAAATGTAGGATAACATCCCTAATGAGGTGATAAGTTAAACCCTTCCATGCAAAAAAATCGATGTGGGATGAAAAGGAGGTAATGCGCTCAAGCTTATTTCTTTATTTATCAATGTTTACATTCTCCCTAGATTTTAATATCCTCTTTTCTCATAGTTTGCAGGTTAAAAAATTTATTCAGGACGATCAGTAACAGCATATTGTTATTTATCAAGACACTGTATCTTAAAATGGTTAGTTTACTTTTACTTTGTTATTGAGCTTATCATAATTATGTGTGTGATGAAATTATATGGAAATATATAATTTTGCTTCAGTCATACTTGTGGAGTTGTCTGATTAGTTTCCGCAAATGATCTAGCCATTAGTTCCTACACACATTTCTGGCAAAAAGAAGTTCCAACACATCTTTGCGCCCTCCCAGTTTTCATCCTGGCTCCACCCCTGATTGTTATCAATCAGTGAGAAAAAAACTAAAACTTTGCTAGCTAGAAAGTGATAAATATATTGGGGGATAGTATAAATTTTGGGAAGTGGCAACCCAACCTCGTGATAAACAGGGGAATTGAAGGTTTGGTTGGCTCCTTTCATAACTAGCAGTCCTTCAGGTTATGTATAGTATGTGAACTGTATAAGGACTTGAAACCCTTTGTATTATTAGTAGCTTGAGGTTGCATGCATAGAGGCTTTAAACCTAATTAACTGCAGCAGTGTGACTGTACATATTTATACTGTTATCTGAATTTACAAGTCATTTTCCTGCGTACTATGCCGTTCGTGATATGTAAGCAAAATTTAGGGAGAAAGCATTAATTTATTCAGCCTCACATGGGAAATTGGGCATCTATGTAATCGCATAGCATGGAATAAGGTCCTAGTCAATGTCATCAATACTCTACATGCCACCTAAGCCTTTCCTGTCTGGTGACAACACCAATTGCTATTTGTCCAAGCAGTCCCAACCTGAAGGGCAGGCGAGAGTCGAATGCAAGTTTTGGGATGGAAGTGTTAATGTCGTAGCTGAAAGAGTGCAAGGTGAGGAAGTTTCGGCAGAGTGTTTCAAACAGCTAGCATTGTCTCTAAAAATAATCTATATGATCAATATCAAATCTGTACAGCTGTAGGATATGGAAAGATGTATCGCTGATTAAGAAAACTAATCATATCTCTAATAATAAAAGTAAAAAGAGGAATGATATATTGGTCACTTACTCTCAATACGGTCTGCAATGCGATAATGTTTTTTCCAATCATATAAATCCATATCCCTGTATATAGAACCATCACGGTGTCTGCTTTTTGCAAGTATACCGTTCACACTATATCCTTCATCATCACTGAGTCCTTCATCCTCACTGACAGCGATTTCAGTAATGTGATTCTTGGCTGCGCTACTTTGGTCTTCCTCAAAACCAGGTAAGTTCACATTTTGGCCCCATGTATCACTTTTGTCATCCATAACCTCTGATGTTGTCCTAAAAGCATCTTTATCACTTTTCCTCTCATCTTCATCTATAACCTCCGAGACAGTGCCCCTCGTCCCAATATTTTTCAATTTTTTTAAATTGTCAGTCTTCATGTTTTTCATCATTTGAGCGATCGAGATGGGCAGTCGTTTATATGGTTTACCAGATTCATCGCCTTGTACTCGACTGACGGTGGCCAGGTTCTGAGATCCATGAGGAAATCTATCACCAAATAGCATAAAAATAAAATTTCAGCATCGGACATAGGATTGTATCATCGGTAAGGATTGAAATCGTGATGTAACCATTATTAACCCTGTAAAATGTTCTACTCAATAGCTCAGATCCGATAACTAAAGCAACCAACTGGCGCAAACTTAGAGTCAGACCAAGAAACATGCACCGCCCCACCCCTCTTTCATAAATCAACATCAGAAGGGTAAAGAGAAACTGAATAGCTGGTCATAATCCGCATCTAAAACTATACCAAACTCCTTTAGAAAAAACTAGGTAAAGGCGCAAACTTTAGCACCAGAACAAGAAAACACACCTGGAAAGACGACGGGCCGGTGGATTTGGAGCCGCCAAGAGTGGGATAATTTGTCGCGCAAGCGCTAATGGCCACCAGCGAGGCGGGGCAGATGCCATGAAAGAGATGGGAAGTCGCGAAGAAGATGAGAGGCGGTGCATTGGAGGCAGGGGGGTGGCGGCGTAAGAGGAAACGTCGAATAGAGAGGAGGATTTGCAGCTCAGCGCGCGACGGCGGCGGCGCCGATTAGGGTAGGGCGGCGGTGCTGGCTTGGGGGTCGTGTGTTCGGAGGAATAAAGACACGCTGTTATAGAGCATATACAGTCAGTCCGACCCCTCAAATCTCCTCGCGAAGTGACGGTCCGGTCTCCGGTCACTGCCAGGTTGGCGAGGTGGTGCTGGTCAGGGAGGATAGCAGGGCTGGATTAGCTGCGGCAAGTAGATTGTTAGAGATATATTTGGATTACTTGTATTTAGTAGTCTAGGATTTGTAATCCTTCTCCTAGGCTTCTTTGCTTTCTTGTATTTAATATATACTAGTACTAGCTAAATATCCATGCGTTGATATGGGATGAAACAATAATTGACTTCATTAATTTATAGTAACACAGAGTAGATGGCAACACTTATTTTGAAGGTAAGAGTAACTCCAACGCCGTGACCCAAACGGACACGGATTTTATTCGTTTTTTGTCTTTTTAGGTCATCTGTCCGCCTCGCGGACATGGGGTAGACAAATGCGGCCGATGGAACAACCCAACGCGCAACACATGACACCAACGAGATCCCCTTGTCTGCTTCATCTTCAGTGCGTGTCGCCGGCACCTCCACCCTCTGCTCCGGCTGGCTCCGGCGCCGCCACGCCCTGGCGCTGCTCCTCCTCGAGCTCGCCGTGTAGCGCCCGCCCCGAGCTCGCCGGGCCCGGCCCCGAGTTCGCCATGCCCTGCCCCGAGCTCGCCGCCTCGCTCCTTCCCCGAGCTCGCCGCGCCCGCCACCCGCTCGCCGCGCCAGGCCCTGAGCTCGCCGCCCCGCTC